TCGTAGGGAATTTGAATATACAAGAATGCGAGATGATGAATCACTTTCTGTCTATCTTACAAAATTATTTGATCTGATAAATCAAATGCGGAGTTATGGAGAGGAGTTATCTCGAGAGAGGATTGTTCAAAAGTTATTGATTAGTTTGCCATCAGCTTATGATTCTATATGCTCTGTTATTGAACATTCGAAGGATTTGGATGTGATTGAGGTACAAGAAGTTGTAGCTTCCTTGAAGAGTTTTGAGCTACGTCTAGATAGACATTCTGAGCACAAAACTGAGAAAGCATTTGCTAGTCTCAATGTGAATCCCAAACCAGTCAAATTCAATGGAAATCAAAGTGCAAGGTACCATAAGAATTGGAAAGAAAAAGGGAAGAGGTGGGATAACAAACCCACTGATGGTGCTAGAAATCCTTGTAAACATTGTGATAAGCTACATTTTGGTGAGTGCCGATTCAAGGGTAAACCAAAGTGTTATAACTGTGATAAATTTGGTCATATTGCAAGGGATTGTAATAGCAAGAAACAGTGCAACAGGTCAATTATGCAAATAAGGTAGAATCTACACCCACCATGTTTTATGCTAGTAATCAAACTAATACTAGTGTAAAGGACTGTGATGATGTATGGTATGTGGATAGTGGGTGTAGTAATCATATGACTGGAAGGGAGAATTTACTTGTGGATATTGATAAGAATGTAACTGCAAAAGTTGAAATGGGTACTGGACAGCTTGTTGATGTAACTGGTAAAGGGAGTCTAGTAGTTGACACTAAACTAGGCAAGAGATATATCAAGGAGGTTATGCTTGTGCCTGGACTGAAAGAAAATTTGCTCAGTGTGGGTCAAATGATGGAGCACAGTTATTATTTGGTGTTTGGAGGTCACAAGGTGGAAATCTATGATGATAGCTCATATTCCAACATGGTTGCTAAAGTTCCAATGAAGGGAAATCGAAGTTTTCCAATGAAATTACAGACTGGAATACATATTGCTTTCAAGGCAAATGTATGTGCTTCTACTACTATGTGGCATAAAAGGTTGGGACACCTAAACATGAGCAGTTTGAAATTGATGCAGGAACAAGAAATGGTAGTAGGATTGCCAGAAATCAAAGTAGCTAAAGGAGTATGTGAAGGTTGTGTTTCTCGGTAAACAATGTAGAGAAGCATTTCCAAGGGAAGCTAATACTAGAGCATCAATTCCTCTAGAGCTTGTGCATAGTGACATTTGTGGCCCGATGCAGACAACTACAAAAGCTGGCAATAGATATTTTCTGACTTTCATAGATGACTGCACCCGGATGTGTTGGGTTTATTTTTTAAGGCATAAATCTGAAGTTCTAAGTGTGTTTAAAAAGTTCAAAGCCACTGTGGAGTTGCAGAGTGGTTATAATCTAAAGCAGCTTAGGAGTGATCGAGGAGGTGAATACACTTCAATTGATTTTAACAAGTTTGTTGAAGATGTAGGCATGGAAAGACAACTTACCACTCCATACACACCACAGCAAAACGGTGTGGCAGAGCGAAAGAACCGAACCATTGTGGAAATGGCTAAGTGTCTCATGTTGGAGAAGGACATCCCACTTGAATTTTGGGCTGAGGCAGTTAATACCTCAGTGTATATTCTGAATAGATGTCCAACCAAAGCCTTACATAAGAAGACACCTTTTGAAGCTTACAGTGGGAGAAAACTAGGAATTAAGCATCTAAAGGTGTTTGGTTCTTTGTGTTATGCTCATGTGCCAAATCAACAGAGACAAAAACTCGATTTGGCAAGCAAGAGGTGTATTTTCTTGGGATATGGTAGTTGTGAGAAGGGATATAGACTTTATAACATTGAATCTGGAAAGGTGATTATTTCCAGAGATGTTGTGTTTAATGAAGAAGCATGTTGGGACTGGAATGCACAAAAGGAAAGAAGGGAGAGTATTCAGATCATTAAAATGTCTGCAGGAGAACAAGACTGTGAAGGAGGTGCTTGTGATTCTGAAACACAATGTGAAGTCAGTGAAGAGATTGTTGGACCAAGCTTAGTTACTGAGCTATCTGATCAAGAAAGAGTGACAGGTCCACAGGACTTTGATCACACTCCTCTCAAGTACAGAAACATTGCAGAAATATATGAGAAGTGTAATCTGTGCATTATAGAACCCGAATGTTTTGAAGAAGCTGCCAAGGATGAATCATGGCAGAAGGCTATGGAAGATGAAATCTCTATGATTGAGAAGAATCATACTTGGGATCTTGTTGATAGACCATTTGATAAACCAATCATTGGAGTCAAATGGGTTTATAAAACAAAACTAAATCTGGATGGTTCAGTGCAGAAAAACAAAGCAAGGTTGGTTGCAAAGGGTTACTCTCAGAAGCCTGGAATCGATTTTAATGAAACTTTTGCACCTGTGGCAAGACTTGATAATGTGAGAACCTTGGTGGCCCTTGCTGCACAGAAAGGATGGAAATTATTTCAGTTAGATGTAAAGTCGGCATTTCTAAATGGAGTGTTGAATGAAGAGGTGTATGTGGATCAACCATCTGGTTTTGTTATACAGGGCAAGGAAGACAAAGTGTACATGCTCAAGAAAGCTTTATATGGTTTGAAACAAGCTCCAAGAGCTTGGTATGAAGAAATAAATTCCTATTTTGCAAAGGCTGGATTCCACAGAAGTCCGAGTGAAGCTACTCTTTATATCAAGACATCTCATAGTGGCATTCTCATTGTGTCACTATATGTAGATGATATTATCTACACAGGAAGTTCAAAGGAGATGATAGCTGAGTTCAAAGGTGAGATGATGAGACAATATGAGATGACTGATCTAGGATTACTTCATCATTTCCTTGGTCTTGGGGTATTGCAGACAGATAATTACATCTTCTTGCATCAAAAGAAATATGCAAAGACTTTGCTTGAGAAATTTGGACTTAGGGATTGCAAGCCGGTTGCAACACCATTAGCTATGAATGAAAAACTTACAAAAGTAGATGGAAGTGATCTGGCAGATGAAACTCTATATAGACAAATGGTGGGAAGTTTGCTATATTTGACAGCAACAAGGCCAGATATTATGTTTGCAGCAAGCTTATTGGCTAGGTTTATGCACAATCCTACCAAGAAGCATATGGGGACAGCTAAGAGAGTTCTGAGATACATACAAGGCACTGTGAACTATGGAGTTGTTTATGAGAAGGGAAAAGGAGCAGTGTTGGTTGGTTATTGTGATAGTGATTGGAGTGGAAGTGAAGATGATATGAGGAGTACATCCGGCTATGCATTCAATCTTGGTTCTGGTGTGTTTTTCTTGGGCCTCAATCAAACAAAGCAGTGTTGCTCTTTCAACCGCAGAGGCAGAGTACATCAGTGCAGCAGAAGCTACTGCACAGGCCATTTGGCTAAGATTTGTACTCTCTGATTTCGGGGAAGAACAAGTAGAACCAACTAAGTTGTTGTGTGATAATACTTCAGCCATTGCCATATCAAAGAATCCAGTTCATCATCACAAAACCAGGCACATTAATCGGAAATTTCATTTTATCCGAGATGCACTTCAAGATGGTGAGATTGATCTGGTATACTGCAAGACTGAAGAGCAGATTGCAGATATATTCACTAAAGCTTTGGCAAGGGATCGATTTGAATTACTGAGGACAGCTTTGGGAGTGATTTCAGCACATCACTTAGAAGGGAGTGTTAGTTTATAAGTGTATTTGCTGAAATGTAATAAAAAGTCAGTTAAATATCAGCCCTTGGATCATAGTCCAAGTGTGCAGCTAAGATGTAATCTTAGATAAAGTATTACCTGTTTTTGCTACATGTGCTAAGTGTGTGCGAATGAATGAAATAGTCAGAGTCCTTTCTTCTACCTCAAGCTTAACTCTCTCTCTCTAGAATTCTTACTCTCCTTCTTCAGTATTCATAGATTGATTGAAACGAACATACAAGATCATAGTCTGTATTCTAACAGATCTGTGTATTGACCATGCCGGGCAGTGCACGGGGATCAATCTTATGCATGGCGCATGCGGCATATATGGGCTTACTTTTGCGAGATTTTTAATGTGTCTGGAATACATGACAGCATGTACATAATAGGTTATTACACGAGTGGTCTTTCATGTGTTTCTCTACTTATATAATAATATATGACGTATGTACCTGTATTCCGGATACACTGAAAAATCTCATCCTTTGTAGATTTGTTGGCACTTGTTAGAATAAACATAAACCAATAACAAGTTATATGAGCTACTGTTATCAAAACACAAATCATTGTTCATTAAACCAATGTATGGAGAAAACCATACCTGCAGATGAACCGGAACCGGACGCCATGCTCGATTTCTGCAAGAATTCTGCAGTGCACCTTCTCTTCTCTTCAATGTTCAAGGTTCTCAACTAATAATAGGTATTAGTTTTGAGTAGAGTACACACACTGCGAGAACAGAAGCCACCATATATATACTACATAATCCTAGCCAAATTCTATAAGGAATTCCCTATTAAAATCCATATAGAAAACCAATTCCTTTTAAATAGTAGTTCAGTTACAATATGGATTCATAAATCCATTATCAACAAGGCTTTCTATTCAATCTCTAATCCTATAACCAAGTTTACAGGTTCATACTCATGCTCATATTCTTACATTCTCCCACTTGAGCAAGTATGGACCAGGAAAACTAGTTCGATTAAGCTTATAATAGGGTGATCACTAAGCCCTTTGAGCCACATCATAATTAATCAATCTGTGCATTTCAAAACACAGAATCTAGAAGCTTACAAGCACAACCAAAATGCAACTAATGCTTCCAGATTACTTATGTTCAATCTACACTTATAACATTATGATCAAACTGATATCAGTGGACCTATATATCCACTCCCACTATTTCTAAACATATATATATATATATATATATATATGTATATATATCCTTGTAATTCACATGAATTCAAACAATTGCTCGAATCAAATCACAAAGATCCCCAAAGCATCAAATTAAATTCACAATTACATATATATATCAGATCAATCAATTACAAAATCAAATCTCTGAATATAATAAACTAGCTAAAACAGAAAACTTAACTCAAGAGAAGAACTTCATTGCTATACAAGCTCTTTGAACTTCACAATAGCAACACTTCTTAACTTTATTATTGCAATTGTCTCTAATAAACTAACACTACTCCCACTGATCAAAAGATTCGAGCACAACCAATCTAGAGATCAATTCGTCAGAAAAAAAGAGTCTTGAACTCCCTCAAAAACTCGTTTCAGATAAGGAACATCCTCAATGTCAGGGCAATCATTGTTAATTTGGTCAAAAACCTGAGCAAGAGCAGACCCACCTAACCTCCGTTTTCCCTTTGCCAAAACAATGTGAAGCAGCACGCCATCATCCTTGAGCTTTAAATTTGGGGTTACTGTTTTTGTTATGTCAGGACAAGTGCAATAAACACTTATTACAAGATTGGCAAGTGCCTTAACAAACTCGCCTGCAACATGGGCTGCCATGGAAAAACTGTCCTTCCCACCATCAATTGCAATACCAAGTTCAATCATTGCTTCTGAAAGAGTTGTAGCAACATCATACATAGCTGCTCATTCCCCATCAAGCTTGGTTGCATACATCTAATTCTCGTCGGCTTTAACAACAGATAGAGAAGTGACCTTTGCCCAAACAAGATTTGTGAGTGCTTCTCCAACAGCTAATCTCGCCATTGCTTTTGGATCCAACAAACCTTTGATTGGCTGCTCCCCAATGGCACATGCACCTCTAGTCACGTCAGTAAAAGTCTGCGCTATTACTGCAACATCAAATAGAGGAATTTGCAAGGGCCCAACTGTTTGCTGCGGTGCTACAAGACCTGTAACACACTTGTCTACTTTGGATGTCAAGAAGCGCTTTGAACAAACAGATGGAGGTCTCAACACCCTCTTAAGTGAATCCATCACTGTTATTCCAAGAGCAATATCAAGTGGTTCTCGTGCATCAATCATCCTGTGGAATTCAAAACTTTTCTGTGGCATATCACCAAGTACTTTCTCTAGCTCCAAATCGACGGCAGGAGGAGGGGGAGAGATTCCACTAGATTCACATTTTTAATAGCTAAGCTATCAATTAAAACAGCACGTCCCTCAACATTTATTGTTCCACTAACAGCCATAGAAACCCTTTCTCTTTGACATATTGACTGCAAGAGGTGGCGGCTTTCAGCCTTCACCAAGATTGCATCTTGCTTCTGGTATTCTGCACCTCATATCTCCAAGACAGACATTGTGTGATCACCAACTACATTTGCCCGGATATCAATCTGGCCGCCCTTGGGGTATATAATTTCCTTAATTTGCAAACCATATTCTCCTTCCCCCTTTCAATAAATCCAGGGGGTTGAACCATGTAAATGTCTTCTCGAAGATCACCATTGAGGAAAGTCGTTTTAACATCCATTTGATGCAACTCTAGATCAAAGTGTGCACAACAGACAGTGAAGAGATGTCTCATGCATGATAACCGTCATTCATGGTTTAACAAAAAACATAAAGGTGCATTAGCATTCTGCAGATTACAAAATAACTGCAGATAACACATAATCGAACACCCAAAGTCTAAATTACTGCAAAATAGTTTCAATTCGATTGAATCCATATAGTTTTGTTATCGTAATAAACCCTCGACTCAATCATCAGATGAATATTTAAGCAGACAAGAATTTTATTTATTATTTTATTTATTTATTTATTTTATTTATTTTTGCAATTTATGAAGCATACCTTACACAGATCCTTATTTTGAAACAGCGCTGCGGAAAAATTATTCAAATCGATCATATCAATCGCAAGGTTGATGAATTCATAACCCATAAGCATATTTTGATGAGTGATGTTATTAATCGAAAAACCCCCCATTTGGAAAGAAGACCCTTACCAATGGATTTGCAGGAAATCTAAAGGCCACCAGCTTTTCCCCTTTTTTTGTCTTCAGGTTTTGTCGTTATTCACCAAACCTATATGCCAGAACCCGTGTTCGATTCCCCAATCCCGCAACAATGGTATATTTTCTTAAATATTATTCATGCTTTTGAACCTATTGATTTTAATCACATAACTCATAAACTTATAAACCAGGCTTTGATACACATGTTAGAATAAACATAAACCAATAACAAGTTATATGAGCTACTGTTATCAAAACACAAATCATTGTTCATTAAACCAATGTATGGAGAAAATCATACCTGCAGATGAATCGGAACCGGACACCATGCTTGATTTCTACAAGAATTCTACAATGCACCTTCTCTTCTCTTCAGTGTTCAAGGTTCTCAACTAATAATAGGTATTAGTTCTGAGTAGAGTACACACACTGCGAGAATAGATGCCACCATATATATACTACATAATCCTAGCCAAATTCTATAAAGAATTCCCTATTAAAATCCATATAAATCCATATAGAAAACCAATTCCTTTTAAATAGTATTTCAGTTACAATATGGATTCATAAATTCATTCTCAACAAGGCTTCCTATTCAATCTCTAATCCTATCACCAAGTTTACAGGTTCATACTCATGCTCATATTCTGACAGCATTACCTAACAAGCTGCTTGCAGAAGATACATAAAGTACATATTTACATATTAATTGGTTACCCTTGAGTGCAACTGTATATACAAAATCTTATCTAAATGTATGTATGCATGTATGTGTAGGTGACAAACACTGGGATTGGAGCTCGAGGAACGTCGAGGATTGCTGATCAGTGCAGCACCGGAGGGTTAGACTTGGATGTACGCTAAAGTGCTTAACACCGACGGGAATGGCAATGCCCAAGGTTGCCGTATCGTCAAGTACAAGTCTACAACTTTGTCGACTGCGGTGCACTTCTTACATTATTATTAGTAGAGGGAACTTAGTCCTTTTTTGTTGTTGTTTGTTGGTGTGTGTCAAGAACTTATTTTATTTCTAATGAATATGCGTCATCGATCTTCCGTTGATGGAATAAATTGAAGTGATTTTGTTTTTTTGTTTATATTAATTTAATTTTCCTTGCAAACAGTATGAAAATCTATACTAAACTAACCTAGTGACAATATTACCTTAAGTTAAGGGCTTATTGGGCCATGCATATGAAACGAGTTGATTTCTTATAAAATTTTGTATCTGTCATGTGAGGAAAGAGATAAGTTTTTATTATGCATGAAAAATGATATGTGTAGAGATTTTTTGATCTTCTTGAAGGGTTAAAGAGTTGATTGAAATGGAGAAGGGATGCGGATTTTGTATTTTTGGAGACTGACTTAGTTAAGGGTACCATCCCTCTTCCAAGCTTGATTAGAGATTACTGGACCTTAATTAGGCTGCTAATCACCTTCTAATGCTTTGGGCTTCTTTTTTGCTCTTCACACTCGACACCCTTCTTTGATCTTTGGGCTTCGGCCCCCATTCAATCTAATAAGAGGGCATATAAATGATAAGATGTATCGGGATAATAATAAAATTATTCAGACAAAAAAATCTACGCTCTTTAATAGAGGAGGATTCTGTTTTTATATATGAATTTATCTATATTAATATTAATATTGGAGTAATATTAAGAAGATCATTTATTATTTAAGTGTTGATTAACGTTATGATTTTCTATTAATGACACGTCGCATGGTTTGTAAATTTGGTCTACCTAGTATTACTCTAAATATTTTGTTAGTAGCAAATAGTAGATATCCTGTGTTTAGGATCTCCTTCTTCAACCTACTGTATTTCTAGTTCAAATCCTCAAGTTCTCCTAGTGTTGTTTAGAGTAGAATACCTCTTGTAATAATAAGGTTATAAAAAATTTGTTAGCAAGTGCAACACTTTTTGAGTGTTCAAATAACTTTAACTTATTTAAGCTAAAACAACAAATGTTACGAATCATCTCATATTATAATTACGTAACAATAATTACCCCGCCAACTTGACAGTATATTCTTACATTGTAAAGTTAAAACGATTCATGAAACATCAATTTTTGCACCTAAACAATTATTACAATCGCCAACTTAAAATAATTCACAAAGTTGAACAATTATAATAGTTCCACCAACTTTAAAACAATTTACAACATTAAATAATTACTACATCACAGCCAACTTAAAACGATTCACAATATTAAACAATTATTACACTGCTGCCAACTTAAACGATTCCGAAAATCAAACATATCACATGAATTACTGTCGCAACGAAGAAGTCTCTTTCTTGTATGGAAAAAATTTAATAGTTTGGATAAGCATCCCACTAAAAAAGGTATCAAACCCATCATTTCCAAAAAAAAACCTTATTCTACAATACAACCCAAAAGGAAAGAAGCAATAAATTAAAGAAAATATATGAACCTAAACCTATTAGGTGCAGGGCATACTCACTACGTGTAACGTGTGTGTGTACATATATATGCAGGCCTTAGGGATCTTCATTTTTTTTCAAAAAGGGAGATTAGGTGTGAACTCATTTTCACATCGAACTTCAACGATCCAAACTGTTTATTTTGTAAGCCTCGTTTTATAGATGATTCTTACAAAATTTCAATTCAATCTAAAATCATTTGCCTATTTAATTATCAAGATAAAATTTCATTATTTCTTATATAACAAAATCTTCGTTAATTTCTTTGAACTCAATTAGCTGTCTTAAATATTTCCGATTTGGCTAATACTTAGTAAGAATGATCTATGAAATGCAACTTAAAAAATAAACAGTTCAGATTGTTAAAACTTAATATTGTGTGGACTACATAACTAATCTCTATTTTTATAAAAAAAAAAATTAAGAACCCTTCCATTAAAGGTTTCTTACATATACAAGGGAGTTGGTAAAACCAAAGTCAGAGAGTATAAAAACTCGAACTCGTTTAATGTTTTTGCGTACAAGAACACATGATCCACATCATAAAGGCCTTGCCTTTCTAACATCTCTCTCTCTCCTCACATACGCACACATACTCTCTCCAAACTCTCTCGCTCATGTTTCTTCATCGAAGCTCGACTTTGTCCTGAAATCCCAACAAACCCAACGTGATTTTCCCGCAAGCAATCACAACCCATCTCTTAGTTTCGCCCCCAAAACCCGCCACTTTCTTCACTCCCCTCAGATCCGACACCACCAACCATCCGACACGTCCGATAAAACCCAAAACAAAGCCCCACCCTTTTCTTAATTTTCTCACTTAATTATCCGAAAACCTCTGGCTTTGCGTTTCTGTCGGGTCGGGCGTTGAATGTGGTTTGGGGGGAGAGGCAAGGGGGACATAGACACAGAGGTTCGGAGATTATAAGGGTTAAAGAGGTGGAGGAAGAGATGGCGGCTGGTGGTGTTGGTGGTGGTCAGGTGGTGAAAGTTAAGAGGGAGAAGCTGGAGGCATGCATGACGTGCCCTCTTTGTAATAAGCTATTGAAGGAGGCTACAACCATTTCACTCTGCCTCCACACGTGTGAGTATCCGTTTTAATCTCCTCTTCCCTGAATTGTTTCTTGATTTTCTGCCAATTTTATGATCTGGGTCTGTTCTTGTTTTTCCATATCTGCACAATTTGTTTTTTTGTTGCAAATTTTCATTTTTTTTTCCACAAACACTTGAGGACATTGCGAAATGTTCGCATTGTTCATTGTAATCTTTGTTATATTTATTTCTATTGCCATGCATTTCCATAGAATTGAAGAAAAGGGTTTTGTTTTCGAAGAATTTTCTCGATTATTTATGTAATTCAATGCTTAATTTCGCAAAATGTGGAATTCGAAACCAGTTTGCAGGAAGTGCATCTTCGAAAAGCTCTCGGATGAGGAAGGGGACTGCTGTCCCGTCTGTGAAATTGATCTCGGAATTTTACCTGTCGAAAAACTCAGGTATTGTACCTATATTCAGAACTGACGATGCTTCATCTTCGCTTGGATTACAATTTCACATGTTGCTTAGCTGGTTTTAGGTAAATGCATGGTGTTGTTGGTTCTTCCGATACTTAATTAGGGGATTACTGAAAAGTTTGGAAAGTAACTTTTAGAAATGAAATTAATGGACTCCTATACAGAGGTAGTGTTAGTCACATTGCGTTGTTTCCCAACCCACCATAAGGCAGATATCAAACCGATGCTTGTTTATTATCGTCTAGCAATAGAAAGTTGATGCTTTGTCAATCATCATAACAATTTGAAACTTTCCAGATTGAGATAAGGGCGGGTTTTTTACCCCATAATTAATGCTTTACTTAGATACCGATTTGTGTAACTAGGGTGCCTACTTGCACGCTGTCATATGATTTTATACAGGTCAATAGTTTTTTCGTTTTACTAATTTTCCCGTCACAACGTCATAAATGTGCGCTGGAGCTTTATGTGGAAATGTTCTCACGCATGCTTAGGATGTCATTTGATGATCTTCAGGCCAGACCATAATTTGCAAGATATTATAGCCAAGATATTTCCCGTTAAAGGAAAGAAAGTTGATACACCAGAAGCTAACGTGCCCGAAGCTAATGATCCTGATGTTACACCTTCTTCATTGCCAGTGAAAAGGAAGGAGAGATCATTATCTTCATTGGTAGTCAGTACCCCCAAAGTTCCATTACAGTCAGGTTTGACTGGAAAGAGATCAAGAGCTCTGTCAAGAAAGGGTGCTGTTTTACGAGGATGCAGTTTTTCCGCTGAAGAAGCTGCAAAGAGAGATGATTCTATAGAAGATCATCCAATGAGCTCCAACTCAACTGGTACTCTTGATGAATTCGCACAAAATAAGAGCCAGGTAAAAGAGGGGGGGGGGGCAGGATTTTGATTATTTGTGCATTATCATAGCGTTTATGTTTAGTTTCATTGCAAAACCAAACAAGTCCAATGCTTTATGTTGAGACAATAGTTAGAAAATATGATACATTCATCATGACTCTAACACAAGTTATTCACTTCGGAAATCAGGTCACACTCGTAATCAAACTAGGAAACCCTATAAAAAAAAAGGAAGCCCGATATTCTTTTATGGTAGGAGATAAGATTTTCTAGCTGGTCGTAGTTCTTTATTCTTCAACATTCTCTCTCAAGCTTGAGCGAAAATGATCAGGCTCTACCTGTTTCACGTCAATAACACCAAAGGTCTTGTTAGGTGCCTTGGCATTTATCGGTTGATTGATCTAACTGTTGCACCATTTTGTCTTCCATGCGGATTCGGGTTTCTCATATGTGAAGGCAGCCAGGTCTGATTGTTTAGCAACTTTGGTGTTGATAATACCGGGGTTTGTGGGTAGGATTCTTGTCCTCTGGGCTCCGTGTATTGGTGCAGTTTTTTTCATGATCTTTTGGGGCTTCCAAATGTTCGCTTCTTTTAGGAATTGTTTCAATTTATATCTCATCCTCTAGATTGATTTTCGTTGTTGGTTTGAGCCGGGGTCCCCGTTTCCCACTCTCCCATTTCCATTCTCTGCTTCTAATGGCTTTTAGACACAATTTTAGGGTTTTGCTTCATGTCCCCTTAACTTATTGTACCGTTAAATTTTGTTTATCGATATATCCACAATGTCTTTACATGATAGCAATGCTGGAGTGGATTTGACATTGTTGTTTAATAGACATAAAAAAGAAGTTAAAAACACCATAGAATGATGAGACACCTGCCCAGTTAAGGTAGATGATATGAGATGGTGATCCATAGCCTACAATGTGTAATAAACTACAATTGTTCTGACCAATGAGGGATAAATTATAGAACGAAAAAAAGCCTCTCGAGGACAACATGGAAACATTCCTACAATGTGACGTAGTGTCTGAGGCAATTTGTAGTCTGGTAGTATAAATGAATTTGGGAGACCTGATTACATTTGAAACCTGTTTATGAAATATATTTTTGCATGTTTATTCAATTATGCAGGATTCACCTGAGCTTTCATATGAGCGAACTGCTAATAAATATATGAACAATGACGTTGAAATAATAGAAGGGAAAGCTGATCTGTGGACGCCCTTAAACTGTCTCGTAGAGGCTGCTAACCGAACCAAGTCCTCGAAGCCAAATTCACAAGGGTTGCATGCCAAGTCTGATCCAACCAGTTCCCTTGATAGTGAACTTTATATGTCTCAAATTAAGGCAGAAGGAGAATTGCCAAATGCTCTGGACTGCATCAGGAATGCATATACGCCCAAAACCAAAAAAAAGGAGGCCGACCAGAAGGCAAGAGGAAAAAATAACAGTAACGGAACAGGGGCATCAGGACCAGTGAAACGTAAAAGGGTGCGCACAGCTAATCAGAACAGGGTAGCTGCATCTGGGGAATCAAGTGCCTCAACTCAACTTATGCTAGATACATGTGGGGCCAAGTATAGAAATGTTCCTGTTTGGTTCTCCTTGGTTGCATCTGAAGACTGGTGAGATGTTCTTTTCGTTATAAAATTGTTATGGTTTTTTTTTTTTTTTTTTTTGGGAGCCCGATTTTGATTTCTTTCATGCCAATCCCTGATTTTGATGGTAAATTTCTTCAGGAAAGGAGAAATTTCATTGCCACAGATATCAGCATGTTGCTTGAAAATAAAGTGAGTTTCTGTATTCCTTTTACTTCCTTTGAAGTTAGGCTATGTCGTTTTGCATTGATCCGTTGTCATATCTTAGCGATTTAATCATCTGAAGCGTGTATAGGATAGAGCAACAAGTACCAAAATGGGGGTTCAGCTTTGTGTGTGTCTTGTCTACCGTATTTTTTTAGGGTTATAAATTATATATTTCTTATTCTTTTGCCGTTGTAAACTTGTCACGTGATTTAAGTATAGCATCATCTGGTAAGAATGCTATACACCAGAAATGAAAACAGAACAGTGTTGAGTCAACTGCCCTTCCCAGATTTATATTTGAACCACATATTTTCCCTAAGGCTTTTCCAAATCCATTCCAATTTGTGCATTTAGAAGAATTTCAATCTTCATGACTACTTTCCTGTTAGTGAGTAAGCGTAACAACTAACTGGTTTCAAGATTTAGACTTAAGAAGTTTTGAGAAACTATTTTGATGGATCTTCGTCGATCGATGATAGAAAATGGTTTTGGTTGACACAAGTATTAAATCTTGCAATATTTCTATTTTTTAATGGTTTTTAAGTTGCCTAAGCTTTTTCTGTGTTTATTCTGGTTTTGTATTGGATAATGAAAAAAAATATTGGGACTTAGTTGTATTGACTTTTCTTTTTCTTTTGCAGGGATGGTAAAATGCCCGTATCAACAATCCAGAAGTACCTTGCAATGAAACTTGAACTTAGCAGTGAAAATGAAGTGAGTATATTTTTGTTGTCTTCCTACAAAGCTGAGAAGATTTCGAGTTTTTGACGTTATACAAACTCGTTTGACATTACTATGGCTGCTCATGAAAACCTAGAAATTCATTTTCGCGTTCCATCTATCAAAACATAGTTTGACAGTGCAACCGGAGCTCTCTTCTGTTTCCTATCATACGCAAAGAAAGCATTTTCCCTGACATGGATGCTATGGGTCAAGTGTCATAACATTTTTCTACAAAACGCATTGGAACACTTTGACTGTTGTTTATTGCATGCCTTTTCAATACAAGAAGCGATAGGGCGTGGAAACATTTCCACTTACGCTTCAAGTTTTAATTTTTTTCCTTTCTTGCAGGTGGAGATACTGTGTCGGGGTCAGCCGGTGCTTCCAACATGGCAACTAGAATCCTTAGTAGAGTTGTGGTGCCGAACAGCACCAACAACAAAAAAAATACCGGTAACAGTTGGCTCCTCTGCTAAAGATTTTGTGATGGTCCTCAATTATTGTCGTAGGGTTCAAACTCCATGAAAGAACCAATAAAAACTCTTTTAATTAAAAGGTAAAACAATATAAGTTTCTCTTTTGTTGTTGTCGATCGTAGTGGTTTGAAATCTCTGAAAGAACCAATAAAATTATCTCATGTTGTCTTCATAGTTTACAACTCAAGATTTATAGCATTGGCGGATTTTACTGGTGTTTCAACTAAGTTTATATGCTAGATCATGTGTTTATTCTATATATTAAATTCTTTGGTCTCTATTTTCTTATCATAATCATTCAGGGAAGTAATTTCCGATCATCCCTTACCCAAAATACACACTCCTTGTTTATTTGTAGTGGTTAGATTGAATCAGTCAAAAGAGACAAAAATAAACAAGGGTGTAGATCATGAAAAATGGCGTGCGGACCCAGAAATTCGACCGAGTGTTGCTTCCGTAAGTAGCAACAGTGACGTCCTCACTTGTAACTTCGGTGGCATTCATCAACGTAGAAACAGCTTATGTCCTACATCTTCAGTATGGAAAGGAGGCTTGTTCCGGTGTTATTTGCACTTTAACACCGCCGTCAAGATGCACCGTCAATGTCGCTCCTTGGAGATGTTCCGGTTTCAGACCAACTGCCTTCATTACTTGTTCTATCAATCGGCCATAGAAATCCTGTTGTAGTATTGTCACTTACGTTCCAGAGTCAAGAAACATGCTCCCTTTCGAAACCGACCCCGATGAGTTAAAAGGCATAAATGTGTTTCCTACACCGATTATCAACAGAATGAGATATGCGCCCGACATTAACAGATGGTTGTGGACGTCAAGCTGGAGGATTCGATGTAGAAGTTGCTGTTGTAATGTTTGAAGCAATAGATGAATGTGATGTTGGAGATTCGGTTCCAATCCTAACTCCGCGACGTCGCCGGTCCCATTCTCCATAATACAGAACTTGATCAAATTCAAAAGAAACACGAGTGTATGGAGCAATCTTGTTTGAAATCTTTCATAGAAAAATTAGTTAAGGAGTGCTTACGTTTTATGCTACAATAAAGGCACAAATTCTGAATTGTGCCCACATATTCTTGTGATGTGTAAAGAAGTGGAATGATTTATTATTTATTAATATTTAGCGGCCACAATTTCTAAAAATAAATGAAATTTATAATGTATTAATATTCAACGGACATTTCTTTTCAAATTGTTTCATTTGCCTATCTGAAGTCACACCACACCTTTGTACGGTTGATTAGAGGATGAGCTTATGGACAATTTTTTGTTATGTGTGTCACGTGAAGGACTCAATACAGTAAAAAAAAAATAAACACTTATGATAAAGACAAAAATAATATAACCAAGCACAAAAAACCAACCTAGAGGAAGACAAGAATCTAAAAAACAATTGAAAAGGCTAAGAATCTAACAAACCTTCATGGCAAATGGAAACGATCCATCGTAAATACCAAACACTGAATAGTAAATAAACAACTCCGTACCATTATTTACCACAATTTAATAGATTTAATTTATAATTTAATATTTCATGTGTGCTAGATGTAAAGAAAAACGAAAACAACACATATGGTTGTGCTTATAAATCAATTTTATAGACACAAAAAGCTTTTCATGTATGTGTTCAGTCAAAAAGTTTTCAGGTCTATCCCATTCCGCTCGGTTCCGTGCCCCTTAACGTTTTGTGTTTTTTGTTTCTTACATTGGGTACAGTATGTGGTGCCTGTATAGAATGGGCACTGTTTCACCTTATTGGTGTTCAAGGAGACACAAAATCCTCATTTGTGTCCTCAATTTTGTACCCAAAGCCATTTTTTTTTGTAGTGTAATACTATTGCATGCTGCTGTACTGTAGATATGCAGCTGAATGGCATAGATAAATTAGAAAAGTGATTAAAATCATATAATTTTATGAAGTAGTAGTGTTTGCAGCTGCCATAAGAGAGATTAGAAGAGGGATTTAGATTGAAGAAGAAAAGTACTGCAAAAATGGAATTTATTAAGAGAGTAGCAATGTTTGTTTTCAGAAAATTTGCATGGGAGAGGTTTTCAGGCCACACGATTTTCTGGTCAAAGCCTGCATGCGCAAGAACGTCATTTCTAGGGTTTCAAGTTCGTTTTTTGGTAATCAATTTTTCTTAATATCACAGTAATAATAATATCCATGTTAATTACTTTTTACATGGTTAAATACTTGGCTCATGGCTTGGAAAATTACTGGGTCTCCTGCCATCACCACCACATGATAAAAATCTACGTGATCATCATCAACTAAGGAGTCTACTCTCCTAGTCCTACGTCGCATAGAAATTGAACTTCAGAAGGAACTGAATGAGGTTACAAAATAGCACAAGAGTGCATATGTAAGAGAATATGGTTAAGGATACAAAATAACACGCAACGTTTTAAACTCAAGTGATTAAGAACATTAATTTATCCATGCATCCGAGATCCTAAGTTCACTTCCCCCTCATACACGAAACATTTTTATGATTCGTGTTTTTTATATCCAAGCTCCTTCGGCTAGTTAATTTCCCACAAGTACAAAATTACAATCAAAATAAAACTGAAAACGTAGTTGAAGAAATACGAGAAATGAATAGCAAAAGCACTATTAGGACTAGGACTAGGGCTAGGACTAGGACTAGGGCTAGGACTAGGACTGCTAGTTTTTCTGCAGTCAACTGCCTTGAAGGAGACCAACATTTTTTCAAGATCAAAACCAATCAAAAAATTTGACTGAGCATAGCTTCCATAGAGACCAACTCCTTCATCTATTGTATCACTTGTGTTAAGCATTCCAAAGCAGTGTAATTTATCTTGTTTGTTTTGATAGAAAGTTTGTGCCGGTGACAACTGCAATTTAGCACCGCCGTCGAAATGAACCGTCAATAATGGTGCTTTAAGATTCTCCGTGGTGTTGTAGCAAAGCACAGTTCCAGAATAGTCGTGTACTTCGACTGGTTTTAGCGATAAATTCATCACCTTCTTTACTTGTTCTACCAATCTGCCGTAAAAATCTTGTGGCAGCATTGTCACTTGGGTTCCCGAGTCGAGATACATGTTCCCTTTTGAAATCGACCCTGATGAGTTAAATGGCACAAACTGTTCTCCGACGCTGAATCCCTCAACGGTGACGAAATATTGGTTTTTGTCTGCTCTAGTGATCAATGGCGTCGAAACCACACCTTCACCCGAAACCTCACTCCCCTTCCCAAAACTCATGATGCTTGCATCATTGGGATGATCCGGATCGAAGGGTACGAGACAATGTGAGAATTTCTTGCCTCCAACGTGAGGAGCAAGTTGAGAAATAATAGATAAATTTCCGGCTCCAAGCCCTACTATTCCCATTTCATTTTCGGCGAAAGTTTCCCCGGTGTTGTTGTGCCCACAACCAATCACAACGTCTTTGAATGAAACCGGATTCCCGGAGCTGGATCCAAACGTGATCGTCTCTTTCGACATCACCCCTTGCGTTATGGAATCATCCATGTATGTGTAATTGTAGTTGCAAATTTTTTTATCATCATTTGAGCAAGATGTGTAGCCAGTGTCGTTAGCATAACTACATTCGTGTGCAGTACATGGAAGGGTGGCATACGATGAGGACTTCTTCGGGTCGAACTTGGGATTTTTTTGCTTGTAGCAAGTCGGACACGGCTCACATTGCGTCCACAACAACGTACTTCCTGTATCCGCCACTGCATAAATCTCATAGGGTGGAGTTCCAAGAGAGAGCTTCATAAGTTGTGCACCCTCACCGCCCTCCTTGTCACGCTTTAGTTCCGATTGTGGGGTGCTTTCTTCCATAAGACGTCGAGAAATTTTATGATTATGATTGTGAAGCGGTGAATTTAAAGAATTTCGGCGAATAAGTTTGACACTAAATCCACCATTAACATCAGAGTTCCTCGCTTCTATAGCTGAACTATGGCATATGACTAGATAAATGATCAAAATCATAGCCACTACACCATAATTGTGTAAAAGAGAAAGACCTCTAGTGTCTGCGGATGCCATATATTACATGGAATTTCAGGAAAGGAGATGTAAGAGGAGAAATTAAGTGTATAATTAGTGCTTAAATAAGGTGCTAGGGTTTATGTTAATGGCTAAAAATTCACTAGTAACACATGGAGTTCCTTTTATTCTAATCTTAGAAAGGGGTTGATAGTTTTTTTTAGAAAATTTGAAAGAGGCCACATTTTTGTGTGAAAAGCTCCATACCACTTGTTTTTATAGGTTCAGTTGTTGCTGTGGACCCTGGTCAAAGCTTGAACCTCATTTATTGGGTTTTCAAACTTCTGAATTCTCCAGGTTTCAACAGTTGATGCCATACTTAGAGACACGTTTTTTTTTTTTTTTCAAGTCACGTGATGAGTGTTGTAGAACGATATACGTAATTTGTTAGTTATTTCTTAAAAATGTGCTAGGAAAAAAGTCTGGTACAACAAGTATCATAATATAAGTGGTGAGAAATTTTTGTTTTCATGTATCTAATCTCTTGTATTATGACACGTACTGTATCGAATCTTGTCCCCGACACACTAAAAAATCCTTTTCAAATTTACATTTTCCACTTTGCACCTGGAAGGCCCAAAATTGTATTTGTGCTGTTAATAGCCCAATAACCGGAATGGCTGACTGATTAGTCATAAGTACGGAAATACCCATTGCAACCTCTTGACAGGCTTTACTCTTCACAGTTCACTGAGCAGCTTCTTCGTGTTCGTTCAACGCTTTGAATCAAATATGCAGCAGGTGAATTCGAACCCTAATATTTTATTCGCATAATTAATTTCTCTGTACTTATTTACTTCGAACATTTCCCTGCAAAAAGATTTATAATTTATGTTATTTAACTTATGAGTTTTTGGTATTGGGGCAAAAGGGTGGAGGATCTGAGACGGAGGTGACATGGGAGGACCAGCAGAACATCAACAAATTTGGCAGGTTGAATAACCGGTTTCACGAGCTCGAGGACGAGATCAAATTTGCCAAGGTAAAATCTTTTGACTTTTTTTTTTCTCTTTATGTTTAAATGGGGTTTTTATTTATTTATTGTAAGTTTTATTTTGGTTTTGAAACTGAATTTCGTTGAATTTCTTGTGATGGGGTTCGATAATTCGTCCAACCCAAGTTGTAAATTTGCTTTAATTTCATGGGTTTTTGGTTGCTTAGATTTTTTGTTCTTCTTTCTGTTTAAAGATCAAGTCTTTTTGTCCCTATACTTGATGTGATTGCAAAAAAAATTGGAGAATGCCATGTTCTGTTTTTTGTCTTGAATTTGATAAAGTCAGAATTAAACTTGTTTTAATGGATTAGTGACAACGGGTTATAGAACTTGCACCATGTTTTGAATTAAAAGTTCGGGAAGTAAAGGGGATTGTAATCTGAAACTGCTGCTATGCTGAAGACGGATTGACTTGTTCGTTAGTCTTCTAGGTTTTGCGGGATTGTTTCACCAGGTGATTCTCAAACTAGCCCGAAAGCAACGAGTTTTATGTTGTATAATTGGCATTGCTTTCAGAAAGTCGCTTTGACAAATGTTGATATCGGAATTGCATTTGATTCTATGGTTTTAGTGGATGGTTTAACATGAAAAACTTGTTGGCCGGTGTGGAATAGGGTTCCTGATATGTGCCAACTGACTAATCATCAAATTAATCGTGGTCCTCCATGCCGGGATTCTGTGTGATGATAATTTTACATGTATCTTTATATCATAGTTTACTTTAGCACAATTGGTTTTCCTTGGGAGTTATATTGTCTCTTCAAGCAGGGATAAAGACCTATACATTTTGAATTTGGTCTACTTTTTGGTTTTCCTTGGGAGCCTTATGGTCGATTCTCTAGTCCATTGATTAGTCGGTGATCATTTTGTGGCATAAATGTTCGGATATTGCAATTTTCCTCTTCGGATATTCCACCTTCAAAAAAGTTAATTCAGTTTCCAATATTGTTTTAACGTGTTAAAGTTACTTAAGAATTATATCAGATTGGTTCTCAACTCTCAGTTATGGGTATTACTGTTAACAGTTGAACTTGAACACCACTTGTGCCTTCTTTTGATCCAATGCTGCCATCCAGGAATCAAAGGATAATCTGGAGGATGCTAGCAACGAGTTGATTCTCACTGATGAGGAGGTGGTCCGGTTCCAGATAGGTGAAGTCTTTGCCCACGTGCCGAAAGAAGAAGTGGAGAGCAGGATAGAAGAGATGCAAGAGGCGACGAGCAAAAGTTTAGAGAAACTTGAAGAAGAGAAGGCATCTATTCTTGCACAGATGGCTGAGTTGAAGAAAATTCTGTATGGAAAGTTCAAGGACTCCATCAATCTAGAGGAGGATTAAAAGCGTGACTTTGTTTCCGTAGTTCCGTTTCTCGAATGATTCGCTGTTGATATGAATTTCATTGTTCAATGTTGTTTTTAGAAGGAATTGTTCACTTGTAGTTTTAATACATGAAGAAACTTGTTCCACTTCTTTATTTCAGAAAGTCGATTCAGATTTTGCATCCACTTCTTTATTTCAGAAGGTCGATTCAGATTTTTGCAGTAAAACCCTGAAATGCGGCAAATGTGGGTTAAGTTTGTTGGCCAAGATATCATGCCTACCTCTCGAATTTTCCTTCACAAAGTGGCCAAGCTCACGGCAAAGTAGGGAGGTATGTGATAATGTTTGGCTTAATAGACCCCCATGCTCCCTTGTGCATGTTCTGTGTAATGATAGTCTTTCTTGTCCCCCTTAATCTCTTCTTGGTAGTACGAGGAGTGACTCTTTTTGCATTAGATGCGGTGTTGTTTGTATCTCCTTGTACTACTTCTCTCTAGTTGCTGTTATTTGCTTTTGCCTCGTGGTAGGCTTCTTTGTATCTTTAGCATATTTGTCCGGATAATATATTATCTCGTTCGCCAAAAAAAGAAAAGTGGCCAAGCTTTGACCAGCTTTCGATTCTTACTCAAGGACTTGTAACTCAAATGGTTGAATTTCTAACATGCTTAAATCAAGGGAAATTTTATTTAAACTCATGTAACCTATTTCTACACTCAACTTACTCTTTGCACCCATTTGATTTTTAATTAAACTATTAATATCTCTTTAAACCCTAATTTACTACCTAATATACCCCCATAAACCCAATTCAATATGTGGATTTATTTTTACACCCATTTGATTTTTAACCCCATAAACCCTAATTTACTACCTAATATACTACTATCTGCAAGTTTGTTTGGTTTTTTGGGGTGCAGTTTTTGTATTAGGACTTTTAGGCAATACTATTTGCACCAATAGCTACATTGATGCCATGATTTTGGGGTGTAGTTGAGAAGAAAAAAATAATATAAAATCATAAGAAGCAAATGAAATCCAAGATCCTTGCAATATCTGCAAGTCTTTTTGGTTTTTTTTGGGGTGCAGTCTTTGTATTAGGACTTTTAGGCAATACTATTTGCACCAATAGCTACATTGATGCCATGATTTTGGGGTGTAGTCACACTACACCGATAGAAAAGAAAAAAAAATATAAAAACAAAAAAGCAAATGGAATCCAAGGTCTTGCAATATCTGCAAGTCTTTTAGGTTTTTTAGGGTGCAGATGAACAGTGGGAGATCGACTGTAGCAATTTGCTGTTGCAGAAAAATAAACAAACCATGTGGGATTGATTGAAAAAAAAAATTAAAACCAACTCATATTCTAAACTCTAAAAAGTTGAAATCAAACAAACAAAAAATTCATAAATTGAGTCATACCTTGGTTAGAGGATTCAAAACTTCAAAATCACCATCCATCACTTATTTTTCTTTGAGACCTATTAGGGGTTTTAGCCGAAATAAACATAGGATAAACAAAGAGTGATCGTAGGGTTTAATTATAGGAGTAATGCTATTCATACCATATTTTTATACCATTTTTTCATACCACCTTAGATGGTATTTGACGAATATCATTAAACTAATTATAGTTCTTTTTTTTTTTTTTTACGACTAAGTCAAGGGTATCCCAAAGGCTTCCTAGGCCCAAAGGACTAATCCCTCCGCGCATGTGAAATGCTCCAACTGTGCGTTGCAGCACAGTGCCTGCCCACTTTGACAGCTTTGGGGTTCGGCTGGGGAGCACACCCAACTACGCAAGAACCAATAGGTCACTCGACAGTGGTTTAATTATAATGTTTGGATTTATTAATAAATTTGAGTTTTATTATTAATTTTATTTTGTACTTAATAGTAATTATGCAATCGGGTAAAACAGACAATTAACATTTAAAATTTTAAATTGGGTGTAAAAAGAGGTTACATTGGTTTAATAAAAAATTTCTTAAATCAACGATTCAAGCACATAAATCATGTTCCACATATCTTAAACTTTTGAATCAAAATTGTGGCCATTCAAATGGGAGTATGATTATCTTCCCTCCAAATTTTCCTATCCTTCCTTCTCCGCTTATTTGAACGGTTACGATGAAGTCACGTTAACATTTTGTGTTGATTTCTTTACAAGGAGAAAAAGACATTTGACAACAAACAAAAAAAAAAAAAAAAGACAAAGAGGAAAGTGAGAGGAGAAGGAATTTGGAGGGGAGAGAATCCTATTATGTTCAAATGAAGGAATCAAAATTAACTTCAGCTTAGCTAAACAAAGAAAGTAGTAAGGTCAAAGAAAAACACAAAGTTAAACATGCGAGAATTCCTAATTAGTGAAACAAAAATGGGAAGAAAATGATAAATTTTTGGAAATAAATAAGTGTGATTTGGATTTAATCAGAAACAAATCTCAGAGTAATTGTTTGCTGCACGATTACAATAACGTCCATAATTAATGGTAATTATTCGATCCCGCCATGAAATTTGCCCGTTACCATTCCTTCATTTTTCTGCATACATTTCATGAAATATATAAGCATGCTCGATAAATGTAGAGGCTCGGGATCACGATAATCCATTCTTTGCTTCTCACGCATGAGTCCATTGACGAAGATGAAGCTCCCCTGCCGTTTCATCTTCTTCACCATTTGCCTCTGTGCTCTGTCGATGAACACTTGTGCTAGTTCCATTGGCTCCCACTACAAAAACGTGCCTTCACCTGTGCTCGAAAGGTCACTGGACTCAACCATGGAGCTTGTACAAAATGTGGCCTCTGCCATGTCGAACATCCACATGTATGTTGATCCCGATGCCGATGCCGATGCCGGCGAAGATGATGATCGAAATCTGAAAATAGCTATTTCACACTGTGGATATGTTCTTGGTTCAACCTATGAAGCCATGAATTGGTCCCTTTCCACAATTCATCAAGGTCTGAATTCTTAACCATCTCTTAGTTTCTTTCATGAATTAGTGAGTACTTTTCCAAAAACCCAAATTAGAATTCGACACTAAACAAACAATTAATAAATAAATTATATGGGTAATGTTAGGAAGACTAAAATTTTAAATTAAGTTTACAAAGATGTGTCACTAATAAGAAATAAACACATTAATCAACGGAACTGTATCACACTAAACTTAAACAGACAGTAAATCATATATAAACTAGGGTTTATTGCATTTTTTATTCTGATTAGAGAATGCTAATGAGACTCTCTCAAAAGTGGGACTCACAACAATGGACTCTCTTTCACCTCTTGTTTTTTACACAATATTTTATAATGTTGACAAAGAAATTACCGTTAAACTAGAAGGAGACATAGAATCTCCTTAGCATTTCTCTTCTGTTTATTGTTCCTCCGATTATATTTTGACAAAAACTTGTAACGGGTTTTATTCACATTTTGTCTAGAAAAAGAACTAAACTACTCAAAGTCTCATTGATTTACAGATTATAAACAATACAAAGGGAAAGGTGATGTCATTTCCCATGCAAGAACAAGGTTGAATGCAAATCTTGAGAGACAAAAGACATGCGTGGAAGCATTTGATGGTACCAAATACTCCATGATTACACAGAGCTTCAAGCAAGTTAGGTCATCAACCCAGGATCTGCTCAAAATGTTGCAAGCGAAACCTGGTCGTATTGAAGCTAAGGCTGGCCTGGAATTCTGGAAAACTCCGAACGTCACCGTTTCTCAAGATGGGAGTGGGAACTTCAGAACAATTACGGAGGCCCTGGCGGTGGCTCCGAGTCACAACCAGAATTACTTCGTGATTTTTGTTAAGAGAGGAGTGTACAAGGAGAACGTGAACATCGACAGCTCGAAGTGCAATCTGGTCCTAATCGGTGAGGGCATGGACGTTACTACAATTTCCGGCAGTCGAAGCTTTCGTAGTGGTTGGGAAACATTTTATTCTGCAACATTTGGTAAGGCACCAGAATGGACATATATATGGTTTGAGTTATCTATAAATTCATATCGAATAACAGGCTGACAAGATAACATGTTATCGTGAACTTTCTATTTCAGCGGTTTCTGCAGATGGATTCATTGCGATGGACATAGGGTTTGAGAATACAGCCGGACCAGAAAACTATCAGGCAGTTGCGCTTCTATCCGGAGGCGATCGCGCAGTTTTCTACCGTTGCAAGATCAGCGGATACCAAGACACGTTGCTTGTGCATGCCGGTCGTCAGTTCTTTCGAGAATGCCAAATCAGTGGCAGCCTCGACTTCATCTTTGGCTACGGCGCTGCTGTTTTCCAAAAGTGTTTGCTCACCGTCAAGAAAACTATACCTGGCGTAATCAACACTGTCACCGCTCATGGTCGCTACGCCCCTAAAGACCCCACCGGCTTCTCCTTCCAGTTTTGTACTATCTCCGCTGACTCCGACGTAGCCGCCGCGTATTTAGGTCGGCCTTGGGGAAAGTATTCGCGTACAGTTTTCATGCAGTCGTACATTAGCAATGTTATACAGCCACAGGGTTGGATTGAATGGAAAGGGAAATCTGCACTCAACACTTTGTACTACGGCGAGTACACGAATAATGGGCCAGGTGCCAGGCTTTCAAGCCGGGTCAATTGGCCGGGTTACCATGTGATTGAGAACCCGGCCGAGGCTGATGAGTTTACAACAGCCAAGTTTATTGAGGGGGACTCATGGCTTACATCTACAAATGTTCCATTCATCCGTGGATTGAAGGACTAATTCGGTTATTAAACATAGATAAATGATTTCCATGCTCTTTTTCTCCTTCTACGACATGGTTTACTTTTATCTCTTAATTCGTCTCTCATTTATTCAATCCAAAGATTAATAAATAATATGGATGTATAAAATTAGATGACTTCAATTAATGTAGTGTTTATATTCTCTTACTCAATATATGAGCTTCATATGCTTCGAGTTGTACAATGTTACACCTTTAGTAAGAAAGTTTGATTATGTAGCTGGTCACGCTAATCAGAATAACTAGCCCGTATAAGGATACCATTCAACTTTCTATAAGTATAGTAGAGTGCCCAACCAAGCACTCCATCAAGCTTTTCCTATTGAAGATTTCTCAAACTTTGTTGCAAGCCAGCATTATTAATACAACCAAGTAAAAAATAAAAATATATTAATACAACCAAGTAAAAAATAAAAATATGTTATCTCTCTTATTTTTGTAACAACCCGTCTCTAAATATTACGGTTTTTATAATTTTATAACGTAAAATTAGGAAAATGCCAAGGTAAAAAAGTTGACTTTTGTTGACCGCATTGTCGTGTCACGTAATATCTGTTTTCTTGACGTATCCTTGTAGCACTCGTCACTACGAGCGTGCGGTGGCACGTGTGGCAGCGCGTGGGGGAAACCTGAGGCCCCTTCTTAGGGTTTTCGACGTGCCGAATCCAAATCCGTTGTCCGTTTTCCCAAATTCGACTGTTTTGGTAGAGTTTTACTAAATGGCCTCTATATGTGTTTAGGTGCATCGGTGGGAAGTGACTCCATCCTCGCTAGCTCGAGCGGCTCCCAGGCAACAAAATATATATGAGTGGACCTCTTCTAAACTTGCATGTTTTTATAAAATATTAGGCTTGCATGCATCGAATATGTTTTATATTATATTTTCCGGATTTTTACATTTATGGTTTACGAGATATTTATGATTTATCGAATTTACATTTTACTAAAGGTTATGAAATATTGGGATTTTCATATATGAAATTCTATGGATTTACGATTGTGATTTATTTGGATTTATGAATATGGGTTATCATGGTTGTGATGAGGCTTTGAGCTGTTGAGCTCTGGATTTGATATGAGTTTTGAGGTATGTTTTCGATACTTATCTAGTGAGTTATTATACAGCACATACACACAACCGGGTATGTAGACGTCTATGGCCATAGGACATGGTTGATGCTATTGATGACATGCCCCCAGCTTCACTAGCCCGGGGCTAGTGTTGGTGTGATATGTTATATGTATATGTTTCTTCTCTGGCATAACTCGGAGTCGTACAACTTCACCTTCGGGTGATGGACCACCCTTCTTCTCCGGCGTAACCCGGAGTCGTACAACTTCACTTTCGGATGATGAACCCACTGCATATACATATAATGTTATATCCTCTTCTTCGGCGTAACCCAGAGTCGTACAACTTCACCTTTAGGTGATGGACCATGGTTTCTTCACTGGCGTAACCTAGTGTCGTATAGCTTCACCTTTAGTGATGGTTATGCCTTCGGGCCACTATGATACCCCTAGAGAGTACATTATTGATGAGATTTACAGATTTGCCTTCGGGCGACGATAGCACCATTATTGAGCACTGGTTTACATGTATTGTTTTACGAATGCATTTCATGACATGCTAGAGTTTTCAGAAAAACCTATATGTAGTATTATATATACGTTTTCAAAATAAGAGGTTAGTATGTTCAAAAAGAAAATGATTTTCTTATCATTAGTATTATTATTATAAACTTTGGTCCACTCACCCTTGTGTTTTGCGCCGCTTTAGGAGTTAAATTCAAGACACACGATCCCGGTGTTAGGGCACTTCTGCTTAAGCATCTTCGAGCCTTCTCTGTATAGGTCCCATTCCTCGATTTGTACCTTTCTAAAATAATTATTTCACGTTATTCTTAATTAGTTGTATACTCTAAACATGGTTCTGCATTAGTATATTTCTTTATAATCATATGTTTTAATTCGCATGCCTGTTTAAAATGGTTTCATCATTCTCGGATATCGGTCGGCACGTGCCTATCCTGATGTTTGGAGATATTGAAATTGGTACGTGTCAATTTTGATCACGTCCAAGGCGAAAGTTACTATAATCAAAATAGTCCTACTGAGTCTCTCTTCTAATGTAATTTCAATCACATGTCCATCCGGGATTGTACAACATCTCAATAACAATAAACTTCATGAAAAGTCGTAATAAAACATAATCGTCATAATATTTTTATATTTAACAGAACAAGAATTCGAACGACAATTTTATGTTGCTCCGAAGCATTCACGAAGTATAATATACACCGAATATACTAGAAAATACACCACAAACTGTTACAGAAGTAGTGATGACGAAACTTTACCAACCATTTGACATCAAAAACAAAAAACACAAACAATCAAACACCTTTGCCACTGCAATCGCTACATTTTCTCTCTACAATTTGCATCACAGCCCTCCAAAAACCAAAAAATTCCAATTTTCCAGGTAAAAAATATCCAACCCCCTCAGTAAACTGTAAATCCGAATTATCCCGAAAACCCGATTTTACCGGGTCCAACTCAAATCCGGGTGTAAGAAGTCGGCGGGGGGAGGGTCTGCTGGCTAGAAACAACCGAGACCAACCCATTTTCCGCGGCGGTCTCCTCGTCGAGAAACAAGTCTTCCGTCACGCGAAACGCCGCGTGGAGCCCAATAACCACGACGGCGACGATCAGTGCCACCAGCACGTTTAAACCCACGTGAGTGAATACCAGCGCCACGACAGTGACCAATCCCAGCACGACGGCGACGACCCTGTCGTCGAAGCTCTGATTGAACAGAACAACGGGGGTGGTGCGGAAGAAGTAGAGGGCGAGCCAGGCGACGAGGACGATGAGGAAGACGATCATAGAGATCGGGTGCCAGAGGAGGCTGCAGAAGACGATGAAGAGCGTCGCCATGACGTAGTTGACGCGGAAGTAGGCGGTGTTGCGCTTGATTCGTGCAATTGCGTCGGCGTAGTTGTAGGGTACGGAGAAGGAGGTGAGGGAGAAGATCTCGGGCCATGGGCGACTCGTCGGGTACACGGTTTGGGAGTTGAGAGTTGGGTACAGGGGTTGGGAGGAGGTCTGGGGTACAGGGCGGGAGGTAAGGGTGAGGTATTTGGAGGTTTGCGGGTCGATTTGGGCGGCGGTGACGGTGGTGCCGCCGTAACCCGCCGGTGTTTTTAGCGGCATTGTTGGTGGAAATTGGGGGAATTTTGGTGCGAGATGGGAAAGTTGGGCGGCGGAGGAAGATTCGACCTCGATAAATTGAGAGGAGGAAGTTTTTATTTTTATATATTTTTTTTGTTTTTTTTTTTGTTTAAGTGGGAAAAAGTAGTTTGTTGTTGAAACACAACTGGAATTTTGCTTAAAAAATAGTGGTGCCCTTCTGTATCATAACGTCAAGTTTCAGTTTTTATTTGTTACCTGTGATGTGGCGTCCACGTGGATGAAGAGGAAAATGGGCAGGGCATCAAGGTTTCAATTTCCGTTGATGAAGAGTTCGATACTATATTATTGCGACTCGTCTATTGTGCTATTTTAGCCTAATTTCTTCTTTTTAGTGTAAAACTTAGATCAATTGGCGGATGTTATGACGAAGTTTGCATCAAACAAAGCATTTTACAAATGATGCACCACGTCGTTTCAATTCCGGCTCGTACAATCGTTCATTGAAAAAATGCACGACGCCTCGTGACAATGCCGCTGTCAATAGGTCCCGGAAACAGCTCAAGTCCAAACGTAATCGGAATCTCGCCATCGCCACCGTAGTAATGACAATGACATGTAGATAGTAGAGATGCTTTAAAGTGACAGATCTAGGGATGAGTTTAGAAGGCTCTGTGATCAGCTGATGTTGTATGTTTTTTTTTTTAACCGAAGTGATAGCGTTGTTGTCGTGGCTCTGTGATAGCATTGTTTGTTGATGGTGTCGTATGTTATTCTCTAATTTAATGTTAGACGTGAGTTAAGTTAGTTGGTCTGCCCGCGATTTAGATGGGAGGAACAATAGGCATATAAAGAGGGTACAAATTACTCGAAAACACTACCACAAAATCACAAACATTTATCCCAAACAAAATTGAAGAAACGAAAGCTACCGGAATTACTATAGCAATCTCAGTTTCTAATTGGAACAGCACACCACTATGATGAAAGAAGGGGAAACGATCTCAATCCGGCATAGTAGCCGGTCCGCCTCCTGCTGACTGGTCGTCTTTGGATACAGGCATCCCAGGCATCCGGCAAACTATGGTTTCTGTTTATCAGCGCCATGAAATTTCCGTCCAGCTTCAACCGCTTCTCTGTAAAGGGGCAAGCAGTTAGCACTTGAAAACCAGAGCAGGTGAACCAAGAAACCAAGGAGGAAGGATCCGAGGAGCTTTCGAATACAAACCTGAAAGCATCTACAAGTGCCTTGTTTTCGGGGTCCCGCCTCACGCCCTCATAGAAAGAATTGGCAGCTTCATCAAACTTCTGCAGTAACAAATAATATTTCATGGAGATTGTTCTTTTTTCTTAGAAAAATTATATTTGAATACGTGGGAAGATGAGTACATGCCTCCAACAGTCGCAACGCTGCACCTTCTCGGTACCAAGCCTTCCCCCATTCTGGCTTTAATTCCCGGGAGGTCTTTCCGTCAGCTAATGCATGCTCGGCTTGACCAAGACACATCCAACAAAGGCTTCGGTTAGAAAACAAAGTAGCATCGGTTGGGTCCAGATCAATAGCCTGAAAATACAAAGCCACCGAATTTAAGTAGCATTTCGTAAGCAAAGCAGGTCGGTTGTTTTCCCCATTACGCACACTTCACAAAGCAGTCGTCTGAACTATTTTTCAATTGTACATCACAACAATCAAACGTTGCCCTTATACTATTCTATATCGAACAGGACCCACAGTAATCCAATAAACTTGTCTTAACACAATTAGGAAAATGATTAATACTAGTAGCAGAGAAAGATGTATACTACACCTGTGTATACGCATCAATGGCTGTCTGATAATCCTTTCTTTTGAAAGCATCAGTTCCTCTTGATTTTGCTTCTGCAGCTTTCTTCTTCGCTTCAGGTGACACCTGAAGAAGTTGTTAAGATGTAAACGCAAAACAATTTAAATCTTAATGCTAATCATATTTCAAGAATACACAAAGTATATCTATAAGCCAGTATGGTACGTTAAGTTACAGGGTAAAAGTGAGCACCTCAGGCAGATCTTTCTTCGGTAACGCACAATCTTTCGACACATTAAGTTCCTTAAAATTTCCCACTGCTTCCTGAAAATTTTGACATGCCAGAGGTAGCTTAAATGGGAGCCAAATCTAGAGAATGCTGTTATGTTATGTGTTCATATACAAAACATAGATTATGAGGCAATATTAGGGCAAATCGAAGCAACCTATTATTATGTAGTTTTGTGGATGTATTATATGAAATGTCAAGACCTTGGTACCTGTTGTCTACTTGTTTCAGACTGCATATACTCAAGTATGTCGTCAACTGTCCATTTTGGGATACTTTCAACTTTTGATGTCAAGGGAAAGAGAATCTCAACGGCACTGCGGTTCCCTCTTCCAGCTGCAACCTGTATTGGCTTCAAGCCATCCTGTGGTGAAATAAAAAGTCAACATCAATCTATGTGCCACTAAAAGATCGGACAATCCAAATTATAGAAAGAAGGAAATCACCATTTTCTAATGATAAGAAAAAATAATTCATACGTAGGGATGGTGAACTACCTCATCAGTGATATTGGGATCACCTCCACCTTTTAACAATAATTGCAAAATCTCTGGGCTCCCAATATCGGCAGCAATGTGCAAAGGGGATGCTCCACCAGCACTAATATTTACTTTGGCACCAGCCTATACAATAAAATGGAAAAGTAAATTATGCAGGTAGAATGATTATACAAAGATTAATGTGTCCAGAATCCTTACCATCTCTATACAAATAAAAATTGAATTCATATTGACATACAAATTGTTAAAGCATATATAAATTCTCGTATCTGCCCCCGCCCCAAAAACAAAAAGGGTAGAAATCATTTACTTGCCACTTGCAAACTCGTGTTGCTATATTACTGGAATACTAGGACAGAAAACCAAACCTGAATCAATAATTCTAAGCATGGCAGTGAACCAGCAGCAACAGATGACAGCAAGGGCGTAATATTGTCATCATTTTCAGCATTTGGCTGCAAAACAGAAACCAGATAAATGAACAACATACGAAAATCTCACCACATAGTTCAGTGACATTAAGAAAACACTTTGTTATAACACAATTATTAAGGAATTACCAGAATTACAAGTGAACAAAGTGTGAAAACAGAAAATCCACAAAAGCAAGTTGTAGAAATAAATATAATACTATATGATGTATAAAATGAGAACGTTTTGCAGATGAGGGCCCCATTGTTCATACGACAAATATGACGAGAACTGAGAGAGACCCTAAAAGCATGTGCTAGTTTCTGCTATCTTCATGAAGAGGTACCCTTATTATAGACACTTCATCAACAGAACTTAAAAAAAAAAAAAAAAAAAAAACACGTATTTAAATATTCAAAAGCTTACATTAGCATTGTGTTCTAATAGAACTTTCACAGCATCTTGTTGACCATGACCAGCAGCCCAAATTAAAGGACTTCCAGCGTCGCTTTGTGAATTAACATCAGCACCTTTGGAAATCAAATACCTCAACAACTCAATGTCTCCTGCAAACAAGCACAAACCATTTATTGATGAAACGCTACTCTGAGAGCTTTACATTTACAAAACTAAATTAGAGTTTAGAAAAGCTCACCTAATCCAGCAGAATGATGAAGAGCTGTGGCTCCCAATTCACTAGCTATCCCAGGATTGGCACCAGAATCAAGAAGGTATTTTGCAGTTTCAGTATGTCCTTGCCGAGCAGCATGGATAAGAGCAGTTTCACCTGGAAACAGTAAAAATTTCTACCAATTAGACTTATGGTATGCCAATAAATGCAAAGCTCTTAGATTAAAAGCATGTGTCTGCTTAAGTTTCTATATCACCCAAAGAGATTCTAAAGTCGCATTCTGATCTCGTTTAACAAAAACATATACTGTATAGCATAAAGCACATACCGTCTTCATCCTTTGTATCAACGTCAAGTTTCAGTTCCTCCAGCAAGTACTTGCACACCTCAGTTTTTCCCTCTCTCGCAGCAAAATGAAGGGCCCCTCGCTTGTTGGCATCCTTAATATCAGCCACAGTTTTGGCCAAATCCTTCCCTTCATCAAGCTGCCCGGCCAAATCTACCCGAAACAAAACCCCAATAAAAATTTAACAAATCATTGAGAAATTGTGGAATTATTCAATTACAACCACAGCAAATTAAAACAAGCAAAAAAACCCAATTCGTCACAAGAAAGATAAGGCATTGTTACTCACTCTTTAAGAGATCAAGATTCCCAGTAACAGCAGCATTGAGAAATTGTTGAACTTTATCCCTCACTGCAGTAAATCAAAGAATTACTTTTCTATTTTTTACATAAGAGTAAAGGTGCAATCTTGAAATTTACAAAATGATACGAATTCAGAAGAAATTGGGATTATGCATCAATATATACACATACATACGAATTAAAAATCATGGGCAATCATAAATTAGTGAACTTTTTGCCTCAGAAACCAGATTCAAAGAAAAGGGGTGAGTGATAAGAGTTGGAGAAGGAACCTGCAAGGGCAGCAGAAGCGTCAGCGGCCATGGGGACGGTAGAGAGAAGAAGAAGTAGTTTATGTCGTTGGGTTTTTGAAGGTGCGAGCAGAAAGAGTTCAACTTTCGGTTGGGTTGAGACACAGAGAGACGCAGAGACGGCGGAGGAGGAGCCAAGTGTTTCTGGGGTTTATGGTTTATGACCGCCACGGCAAAGGGGAAACACAAAGAAAAAGTGTCAATTTATGCGGAGGCAAACTTTACTTTTTGCTTAGTTTTTACTTAATTGTAGTTATTTTTACCCCAAGCTACTCAATTTTATCGGAAAAAAACTTCGATAATGTTGTCTGATTATGTTATAAGACATCTCTTACAAAATAATAAAACGTTTTATATTTTGATTCTATTTAACTTTACGAGTACAAGACTGTCTTAATCAAATAATTTTTCAAAATTTTTGTTTTCGCTCACTATATTTATTTTATAGGCAATATTTCTCGTTTAGATTTCACTTTAGTAAAAAGAAAAAGTAATCATCCTTCCATGAAGTGATCAAGAAGACAATGCTCTTCCCAAAAGAAATGTTTAGGGTTGTTTTCAAAGGCAAAAGACAAAATCAATGGTACATAGTTGACGAAGCTTTGGATACACTTAGAACATTCTAGGTTTAGAAAGAACGTAATACATAAAATTTTAAAAGTTAAAACTTATCTAGGACTCACATATTCATGTATTAATTATTTTCTAATACTAATAGGATTTTCAGTATATTTTGTACCTTTCTAGTTTAAGGCAAATAACAATTTGGTTTTTATTTTTTTTTTAAATTGGAAAACAATTTCGTAAAATATTATTGGCCCCTCTTCCAGCTAGCTGTATAGTTTTTCTTTTAATGTAACCAGCACAATGTCCGATGCAGATTAACTCTTACGTCATGGATGAAAGTACATCAATTTTAATTAATATGAGTACATCAATGTGATCATCATAGAATTTTCTCCGATCTTCTTGATTAATAAGCTTGCAGTCCTTGTTGATTGATAAAATTCACAGGTTGACCATAAAGATAAAACCAAAGTAACAAAAGTAATATTTTCGGTGCCAATAAATGAGTTGAGATACTCGCTCCATTTCTATGTTTGGAGCCAACAAACTAAGAAATCTGGAGCGTTTAAGAGAGAGAGAGATCTATACGGTTCAAGAGTTTGATTTTGTATGAAGTGGGCCAATAATATAAGCTAATAAGGATCACATGATTTAAACTGAATGATCATAATATTTTGAACTGTCGACTCTGAACACAAAAATCTGGAGAGGATTTGTAATTCCCTAGAAATGAGTCGATGCAATATGTATTGACAATTACCATAATAAAAGTATTAATTTTTCTAAGAATATGAGTCTATTTATTAAAGGCAATTGTTTACATTCCTCCAATTCCACTTTCACATTCATCGATAAGATCGGATGTGCTACTAATGGTGTGGTTGCATGCATGTGAGATGTCCCCAGTATTATACATCATCAAATCTCTCTGTGTCCCAAAAATGATATCTTACATGATAAACGTGCTGCGCAGAGCACCAAGAGAAATTTAATTGGATTCAAAACTAATGAGAAAATTAAGCAGATTAATCCTCCAATCAAACCAACCAAATCTGATGATTGTCAATAGATCCTTCTTAATTTGCAGTTTTTTGCATGCATGCAAACCACTAAACATGTTCAATCTCTCTGATATGGTAACTAGTAGCAGAAATTAATCCAGAAATTGATATCTAAATTAATCATAACCTTATCGATCTTCTTCCTCCTCTCGATCTCCTCTCTCCTCCTTTTCCTGTATAATTCTATGTCTGTCTCTCTCTTTCTCTCTAGAAAGTAGAAATAGTTTCCTCTGTACAAGCAAAGCCATCTCACACTTCAATTTTCTTAATCTGCACCACTCGCTCATGAACAAGAATAAGCTCTTTTTTCATGTTTTGCTTTTGCTTTTGCTTTTTAATCCTCTGTACAAGCAAAGCCATCTGATGATAATTCCACTCTTCAAGAAGATTGGATCACTGAGCAAGCCACAGCTTGTGCCCAATGCCTCAACTTGGTCTTCACCTGTTCAGGATTATCACCTACAAAACCCATAAGATTAAATTAATATGTTTCAACGGATGCTAATCACAATCAAGTTGTATTAGTAATTTTTATAAGAAACTATATATGTTGAATAATTGGCCAAGTGCCAAATGGACAAATGTCCAAATGAACTTTCGGCTAAAAAAAAAATTATAAAGAAAAAGGTGGACAACCTTTCCTTGTTTTAGGGAAGAAAAATGGGAAAAATTTTCTTTCTTTTTACCACCCGTGACTTATGGTTCTTAATAAGTGTTTTGGTTGCTTTTGTGTGTGGGGTGCATCCGAAAAGAGTGAAGGGAAAGAAGCAGAGAGCTCATTTTCGGTTTGGAGAAGAAAACAGAGAGAAGAAAGAGCTCCTTTTGCAGAGAGCAAGGGAGAGTTGCAGAGAGCCTAAAACAGAAGAAGAAGTTGTTGCTTCATTTGATTAGTAATCATCAACCAAAGTAATTGTTGTTGTAATAGCTTTGAGCTATATGTATAGAGAAGAAATTATTCATTATATTTTCTTCTCTGTTTGTTTCTTTGGTGTGTGAGAGCTATTGGGTGTATTGGGTTATTTGGGTTGTGAGATTGCCAACACTTTGTAAACTCCCATTTGGTTGATAGTGGATTATTGGGTGAGCTCCTACTGCTCCGAGGACGTACTCCAGTTACACTGACTGTGGAGGAACCTCGTTAAAATCTTGGTGTTATTTTCTATATTGTTCTTGCATTTTCATTTGATAAATTTCCTGTGGGTTAGATTGAGTTGGTTCCATAAGGTTTGGTGCTATCCTAGCACAACAATTGGTATCAGAGCACTGGTTGCTCTTGGGTACTGTCTAGTTGCCAAAGATGTCAGACGGGCAAGATGAAAATCCTTTTGGAAGCAGCTCCGGGTTTGCAAGAACGACGGTGCAAAATGCAAAGTTCGAAGTGGAAAAGTTTGATGGCACAAACAACTTCGGGATGTGGCAATGTGAGGTCAAAGATGTGTTGGCTCAACAAGATCTACTTGCCGCTTTGGGAGAGAAGCCGGAAACTATGTCGAAGCCGGAATGGGAAAAATTAAATTTGTGGGCTTGCTCTTCAATTCGGTTGTGCCTTGCAAAAACTCAGAAGTATTTTGTGATGCGGGAGACGGTAGCAAGTGTGTTGTGGCAAAAATTGGAAGACAAGTATATGACGAAGAGTGCAGAGAACCGGCTACACTTGAAGAAAAAAGCTATACCGCTTCCAATACAAAGAAGGTACAAAAATGATTAGACACCTTGATGCTTTTAATAAGTTGATTGCCGACTTGTTAAATTTAGATGAGGATATTAAGGATGAAGATAAGGCCTTAATATTGTTGAATTCCTTGCCGGACTCTTATGAGCATTTTGTTACCACTATTATGCATGGTAAAGAAACTGTGAAATTTGAAGATGTGTCAAATGCCTTGATGAATTATGAAATGAGGCATAGAGATAAAAATCATGATAGTACCTCTGAAGCTTTATTTGTTAGAGGTAGATCATCGGAGAGGAAGTCATCTTCTAGTAGAAAAAAATCACACTCTCGACCTAGAGGAAACTCTAAAGGTAGAAAAACCTTGGAAAGAGATGAATGTGCCTTTTGTCATAATAAGGGTCATTGGAAGAAGAAAGATTGTCCTAAGTTGAAGACCAAAGGAAAAGAGAAGTTCTGAAGCCAATGTTGCTGAGGTTGAAACAGATGTTTTTGATTTTGCTTTAACCACTTCCTCATCATTTGATTGTGCTACTAAATGGGTGTTGGATACGGGTTGTACTCATCATATGACTCCTCACAAGGATTGGTTTTCAAGCTTGAAAGAGTTTGATGGTGGCGTTGTGTTCATGGGAGATGACAATCCTTGCACAACAAAAGGGATTGGTACAGTTCGTTTGAAGTTGCATGATGGCATGGTTAAAGAGTTGACAGGTGTTCGGTATGTACCGAATTTGAAGAAAAATCTTATTTCTTTGGGTACTTTGGAATCCAAGGGTTTCAGGTTTCATTCAGATGGACATACATTGAAAGTTACTTATGGTGCACTTGTTGTGATGAAAGCTCCTAGATGTGGCCATTTGTATTTATTGCAGGGAAGCACTGTGACAGGTGAAGCATCTGTAGTCTCTGAAAATATGGGCACATCTGATTCAGATACTACTAGATTGTGGCATATGAGATTAGGCCATGCCGGTGAGAAAGCTCTACAAGGGCTTGTGAAAAAAGGTCTTCTAAAAGGTGCCACGACCTGTAAGCTTGATTTCTGCGAGCATTGTGTCTTGGGGAAACAAACTAGAGTGAAGTTTGGTACTGCTGTACATCAGACGAAGGGCATTCTTGATTATGTGCATTCGGATGTTTGGGGTCCTACAAAGACTCCCTCTTTGAGTGGTAGACATTGGTTCGTGACCTTTGTTGATGATTATTCAAGAAGGTCTTGGGTCTACACTATGAAGCACAAGAGTGAGGTGTTAAGCATTTTCTTGGGTTGGAAGAAAATGGTTGAGAACCAGACTGGGAGAAAGATTAAGATTTTGAGATCGGATAATGGTGGTGAATACACATCCGATCCTTTCTTTAAAGTTTGCAAAGAAGAAGGAATTGTGAGACATTTCAGTGTTCGGGGAACTCCAACTCCAACAAAATGGAGTTGCAGAAAGATTGAATCGAACCTTGCTTGAGAAGGTTAGATGTATGTTGTCTCAGTCGGGTTTGAGCAAGTCGTTTTGGGCAGAAGCAGTTAATTATGCATGTCACATCATCAACCGGTTACCCTCAGCTGCTATTCAGGGTAAGACACCAATGGAGGTATGGACTGGAAAACCTTCTTCTGATTATGACTATATCCGTATTTTTGGTTCACCTGCTTATTTTCATGTGACTGAAAATAAACTTGATCCTAGAGCCAAAAAGGCTATCTTTCTTGGTTTTAGTAGTGGTGTCAAAGGTTACAGGTTGTGGTGTCCAGAGATGAAGAAACTGGTAATTAGTAGAGATGTGACATTTGACGAAGAAAGTATGTACAAAGTCTCTGAGAAGAATGTGAAAGATGTCCAACAGGTGGAGCTTGAGAAAGTTGCCTCTGGTACTTCAAATCCTATTTCCGCTGATGTCGAAGCCACTACAAGTGAAGAAGTGGGAGACCATGAGGATGTTGAAGAAGTTGAACTTGAAGATTCTATTCAAGTTGAAGAGCAAGTTTCACCTCAAGAGTCTATTGCCAAGAACAGAGGAAAGAGACAAATTACTAAGCCAGCTCGGTATAGTGATTATGTTGCTTTTGCTCTTCCTATTATCACTGAAGAGATTCCATCCAATTTTGAGGAAGCTATTGAGAGTGAGGAGAAGAATAGGTGGTGCAATGCCATGGGTGATGAGATGAATTCTCTCTTGAAGAACAAGACTTGGGAGTTAGCTAAATTGCCTAAGGGCAAGAAAGCTATTGGTTGCAAATGGGTGTATGCCAAGAAGGAAGATGCTGATGAGAAAAGCAATGTGAGATTTAAAGCAAGATTAGTTGCTAAAGGGTATGCACAAAAGGAGGGCATTGACTACAATGAAATATTTTCTCCAGTTGTGAAACACTCCTCAATTCGTATTATGTTAGCTCTTGTTGCACAATATGATCTTGAGCTTGTGCAACTCGATGTGAAGACGGCTTTCCTACATGGTGATTTGAATGAAGAGATTTATATGTGTCAACCGGATGGGTATGTAGTGAAAGGGAAGGAGAATTTGTTTTGCAAATTGAAGAAATCACTATATGGCTTGAAGCAATCTCCAAGACAATGGTATTTGAGGTTTGATAAATTTATGAGAGGCCAAAATTATTCTAGAAGTCAATATGATCATTGTGTGTACTTCAAGAAGTTGCAAGATGGGTCTTTCATTTATTTATTGATATATGTTGATGATATGTTGATTGCTTCAAAGAATGTTGAAGAGATTGAGAAATTGAAGAAACAAATGAAGAATGAGTTTGAGATGAAGGATCTTGGTGAAGCGAAGAAGATCCTTGGCATGGAGATCACTAGAGATAGAGAGAAGGGTTTGGTCAGTTTGAATCAAAGACAATACCTTGAGAAGTTGATTCGGAAGTTTGGAGTTCATGATTCAACCAAACCGGTTAGTACTCCTTTAGCTCCTCATTTTAAATTGAGTTCTCTACAATGTCCTAAAAATGATAAAGAGAAGCTGCAAATGAAAAATATACCATATGCAAATTTGGTTGGTAGTTTGATGTATGCAATGGTATGCTCTAGACCGGATATTGCTCATGCAGTTGGCATGGTGAGTCGATATATGCATAATCCAGGTAAAGAGCACTGGCAAGCAGCTAAGTGGATATTGAGATATCTCCATGGTACTCGAAATGTTGGTTTATGCTTTGAGAGAGATGACTCTGGTATTGGTCATTTTGCAGTTGGTTATGTTGATTCAGATTATGCAGGTGATCTGGATGGAAGGAAGTCTACTACAGGCTATGTGTTTACTATGGCTAAAGGACCAGTTTGTTGGAGGTCCATTTTGCAGTCGTCTGTTGCCTTGTCTACTACAGAGGCTGAATATATGGCAGTTGCTGAAGCTATAAAGGAGGCCATTTGGATACATGGGCTGAGAGATTTGGGGGTTGATCAGAAGCAAGTGGAGGTGCATTGTGATAGTCAGAGTGCCATTTATTTGGCTAAGTATCAGGTTCATCATGCGAGGACCAAGCACATAGATGTGCGTTATCACTTTGTTCGTGAAGTAGTTGGTGAAGGGGAGATCATTCTCCAGAAGATTCCAACTAAAGACAACCCCGCTGATATGTTGACTAAGGTTGTTGGTGTAGCCAAGTTTATTCATTGCTTGAACTTGGCTCACATTTTGCCTATATAAAGAAGGCGTTGAGCAGTAGGAGTTTTGAAGCATTTTGGCTTATCATGGCGTCTTTCGGAACTTGGCCAAGGTGGAGATTGTTGAATAATTGGCCAAGTGCCAAATGGACAAATGTCCAAATGAACTTTCGGCTAAAAAAAAAATTATAAAGAAAAAGGTGGACAACCTTTCCTTGTTTTAGGGAAGAAAAATGGGAAAAGTTTTCTTTCTTTTTACCACCCGTGACTTATGGTTCTTAATAAGTGTTTTGGTTGCTTTTGTGTGTGGGGTGCATCCGAAAAGAGTGAAGGGAAAGAAGCAGAGAGCTCATTTTCGGTTTGGAGAAGAAAACAGAGAGAAGAAAGAGCTCCTTTTGCAGAGAGCAAGGGAGAGTTGCAGAGAGCCTAAAACAGAAGAAGAAGTTGTTGCTTCATTTGATTAGTAATCATCAACCAAAGTAATTGTTGTTGTAATAGCTTTGAGCTATATGTATAGAGAAGAAATTATTCATTATATTTTCTTCTCTGTTTGTTTCTTTGGTATGTGAGAGCTATTGGGTGTATTGGGTTATTTGGGTTGTGAGATTGCCAACACTTTGTAAACTCCCATTTGGTTGATAGTGGATTATTGGGTGAGCTCCTACTGCTCCGAGGACGTACTCCAGTTACACTGACTGTGGAGGAACCTCGTTAAAATCTTGGTGTTATTTTCTATATTGTTCTTGCATTTTCATTTGATAAATTTCATGTGGGTTAGATTGAGTTGGTTCCATAAGGTTTGGTGCTATCCTAGCACAACAATATATATACTACCAACATTTTAGAATAATTACATACAAGTAAAATTAATCCAAAATACTAATTAACTACTATGATCATAAATTGTCTACATTATTTCATGCATAGTCGATAAGTGTAATAATATTTAGTAAGAAAATGTTGTATTGTTAGACTTTGGTGATTATAGAAAGTCAGCACATACCTGGACTGCATATCTTCCATGCATCTGTATCGCTCCTAGGGCTTCCAAACGACGAGTAATGTCCACCCATTGACGACGTAGAATGGCGGGCGCTAGCGCTATTCGGCGTGGACGCGGGGCTCGGTGAAAACTGGCGGTTGACGGCGAAGTAAAGGTCAAGAGCGGGCAAGGTAGCGCTCAACCTCTGACCCTCCTCCTCATTGAACCCAAACCCTAGCTCAATGCACCCTTTGAGCTCATGCAAATCCTCGTCGGTCAGATGCATGTCATCGGAGTCTCTGATCCCATTCATCCTCCTCTCCTGGCTGAGAATCTGGCGCTGCCGCCTCTCCCACGCGATGTCCCTAGGCGTCTCGCACATGGACAACTGCTTGCTCAAGCGCTTCCGGCTCAACGTCTTGGGCGGTGCCAGCGGCATGTGTTGGAGCTCCTCCTCGGAGGACGAAAGGGACAATAACGGCGACGATGATGACATCTTCCGTCGGTGTAAGTTATTGTCCTTCATTTTAAAGTAACTAATTATTAATTAAACAAATTAACGTTGAGTTTGCTTAATTAACCAAATGCATGCACGTATGTACGCGGTGGTGTAGAGTATGAATGTATGGTATGACGTTTATATACGTGCGTGTGTGTATATACTCAATCCCAAGGTGGTGATGGTGGCAGCGGCAGCGGAAGGAAGCCACCGCGCCAACCGGACAAGAAAGTGCTTTCGATCTGAGTGTGGGACGGGGGTTGGGTGGGGGAGGGGGGGGGGAGGGGGTTTTTTTTTTTTCTTCCCCAAAAAAGATAATCAGAAGGAGAAAGGATCAGAGAGCAATATTTTAGGGTTTCTGAGGTGCATGATCTCTCACCAGCCCGACCAGCTCAACACAGATGTTGTGTGAAGAGCTTTAATGGGGACAACAAGGGTGGATGGACCTGCGGTTGCCGCGCACATCCGTTGCCATTTCCACCATCCGTTCAAACTGTCACTAACCAAAATCCTCCCTAATTACTTTGTTAATTTTGGAAGGTACATAGTACGTACATATCTTCTCATATTCTAACAAAGATCTTGTGCATGCATGCTCCCTAAATTTATGTATGTTTTGTCTTTGGATTTTTAGCTAGTGATACTAAAAAAAGGAATGATAACATGATCAATGGTTACCTACCTTTGACAACAGTATCATTCTAGATGTTACACTTTTTAAATATGGGGAATAATTAAGATTTTCGGACTATTTTTCTCATAGTGGACACTTATGCTTAGTTTATATTATGTGATTCTTCTTTAATTTATTCGCTTCAAATATGAAGAAAAAAAAAAGTCCAAATCACATTTTTTTTTTAACATACAAGTGCTACTATTTGGATCAATTGATGACAACCTCTGTAATACACATGTAGTTAATAATATGATAAGTAAATGTAGTGTAAATAACAATTTTTCACAAATAAATGTGTAATTGACAAAAGAACGTTGTAACACATTTGCATGATCTTTTAGTTTAACGAGTTGTTAGTAGTACTCCACAATAGTCATCGTACACTCTTACATCATTCAAAAAAGGAAAATGTTACGTTGTGTTCCCTAGTTGACCGAAATCTTAAATTGCAACTTTATTGATTTGAATATTTTGATTGAAGGACAAAATATTGAATTTTAGTATTAACTAAGAAATTTAATAACGGAAATTAAAAAATTCTCCTTAAAATCATGCAAAGATTAATACCAAATAGGAATTTTCAATTTTTTTTCTCAAATTTAAATTGTGTGAAATCTAATCAGATCTTTTATTACAAAATAAAATGTTTTATTTTTGAATAAGGGTACATTATATATATAAAGGTACATTTTACATATAGTAAAGTGGTACATTGTACATCATTATAAACATATGAATGGGTACATTATAAATATGTTATAGGTCAACAAAACATTAAAAAAAATTATGGGTACAAATAACAGTTTAAAATATTGGTTCAAAGAAAATAAATATATAGGTACAACTTAAAACTAAAAAGAAAATTGGTACAAAATAAAAGAATGGTTGCAAAATTAAAAATGTGTACAAATTAAAAATAAAAATATGAGATACAAAATTTAGATATAAATATAAATAAACCAAATGTAACGTTTCTAACACTAAACGAATGTATTTGAAAATGATTTAAAAAATTTAAATATGTTGACATGTAAATATTGAAACAATGGCATAGATATATGACCAAACGGCCTTAAACAAAAATTGAAAAAAAAATAAGGCTTGAATCAATGAAATAAACAAATAAGGGATGAGAACCTAATTTCTTCTTACAAAAAATAAGGGAATTAATAATATTCATAAATAGTCGTCATACACACCTCCAAAGAGAGGCAACTCATGTAGAGAGCTGTTATTAGTACCAAAAAATGTTACCCTCCAATTTCTTTGTGTTCATTTTCTCTTGTGCATGTGTTTATTCAGGAGAAGTTTTGAATGACCTTTTGGAAGTGTCAATAACATTTAAACTTATTATATGTCTTTTAAGAACTGTAAATAATTGCATTCAATCTCTACTTTGTCATAAGAAGTCATGAGTTTAATCGTATAAACAACATTTGTTGATAAAATAGTATAATCTTTTCTCAAAATATTCAACTTCTATAGTCACTACGAAACACCATCGATATTTTAGCTTTAGATTGTTGGTTGAGAGTTTTGAGACTTGAGAGAGGTTTCATATTAGTCGTTGTGTTAAAGATATCACTGCAAAGAGACCTTGCAGGAGGTCGTTAGAGCAATCCTCCAGCTTATGAAACTAAAACATTAAAAAAAAAAAAAAAGGGGCTAAATTCAGCCTGTTATTTACTACAAATAGGAACTTCAAACGTTGTCACAACCAACCAAAACCTGTACAATCTTCGATTTTTGCTCCCAACCATTGGTTTCCGACTACATTCCCCGTTGTCAAACAACAACGGACGTCTCAGAAACGGAAATCGAAACGAACTAAGCAAACAAAAGTTCCCACGCTTACAGAAAAAAAAAAAAGACGACCAAATATTCAACCGTTTGTCTATGTCTTCGTCTTGCCTGGTCGAGTCCTTGAGGTCCAGGTAAGACTGCTAACCGTTTTTGAGTTTGATTAGATATGGCGTAGGTTAACACCATCATCCATAGAAGAAGACTACAAAGAAAACCCAGAAACCAAAAAAAACGCTTTTCGTTTCTCCGGGCGTACAGGAAAACTTCTAATACTTCTTCATTATTGATCGGAGTCCTCCGTTTTCCTGTACGCCGTTGGCAGAGCTTTCGGTCTCCGTCTCTTTTTTCTTTTTCTTTTTCTTTCTTTTTTATTAGCTAGCAATATGTACATCAAAACACCAATTCTTCTATTTCTCGCCTTTGCATCCGTGTTCTTGAACGGCCTCGATGCTGCAAAACCGGGCTCAGATCCGCTGATCCTTGGCTGTGGCGCTGATAATGAGGCCAAAGATGCAGATGGGAGGAAATGGCAACCGGACAAGAAGTACCTTGCCGATTCATCAAAGACAACCTCGGCACAAGCGCAGTACCAGGACCCTGCGCTTCTTTCCGAGGTTCCATACATGAAAGCCAGGATTTTCACCGCGAATACCACGTACAAGTTGCCTGTGCAACCCAAGCAGCGCTACATGCTTAGACTTTATTTCTACCCGGCTGTGTATGGCAGCAACAACGCTGAGGGGTCCTATTTTTCGGTTGTTGCCAATGGAATCACTCTCTTGCAAAACTTTAGCGCTTCAATCACTTGCAGGGCCCTTACACAAGCTTATATCATGAGAGAGTATATGTTGGCACCCCTCAACAAGGATTCCCTAGATGTCACCTTTTCGCCTTCCTCGGGGTTTGCATTTGTGAATGGGATTGAGCTGATTGGAGCCCCTGACATGTTTGGCGACGCTGCAATAGTCGGGTCTTCAGACCAGACTTTTGACGGCAAGAGTTCAAATTTGCAGACCATGTTTAGAGTGAATATTGGGGGGCAGTTTATTTCCCCAACCAATGACTCCGGCACCCTAACAAGGACATGGTACGATGACTTTGCTTATGTATATGGTGCACAACTTGGGGTCACCAACGAGGCCGCCAAGAACGTAAAAATTGACTACAAAGATATGCCACCGTACATTGCTCCCGTTGATATCTACAGGACCTCGAGATCAATGGGTGAGAAGAAGGACATCAACCTCGGTTATAATCTCACGTGGGTGTTCAACCAAGTCGATGCTAAATTCATGTACCTTGTGAGGTTACACTTTTGTGACTTTTACCTCACAAAAGCCAATCAAATAGTGTTCACAATCTACATTAACAATCAAACCGCCGAGGCTGAAGCAGATGTGATCGGATGGACAGGAGGAAAGGGGGTGACTACATACAGAGATTATGTGGTAGCGGCCAATGAGGGTTTTAATGGTGACCTCTGGCTAGCTTTGCACCCTTCCAAGAAATCAAGTCCTGAGTTCTACGATTCACTCCTCAATGGGGTGGAGATATTCAAGCTCGAACAGGGTAAAAACTTGGCAGGCCCTAATCCCAAGATTTCTGACATGTTGGCGAAGGACGAGCAAGAGAAGAGAAGCTTTCAAAGTCAGCAGCAGCAGGGAGGAAGCGGTACCAACAAAGCTCACGTGATTGGCGGAGCTGCTGGAGGAGCTGCAGCCTTTGGCATAGTTGCTGCATTGTGCATTGCTGTGTACCAACGAAAGAAAAGGGCCCCGGGAAGTGATGCGCACACTACTAGCTGGCTACCAATCTACGGAAATTCCCATACCAGTGGCACCAAATCAACAATCTCAGGCAAGAGCAATGCTAGCACCCACTTGTCATCAGCTGCTCAAGGCCGTTGCAGGCGTTTCACCTTCCCTGAGATGAAACATGCTACTAAGAATTTTGACGAGTCTAATGTCATTGGTGTTGGAGGATTCGGAAAGGTGTACAAGGGTGTCATCGATGGAGGAACGAAAGTGGCGATCAAGAGATCTAACCCACAATCAGAGCAAGGAGTTAACGAATTCCAGACCGAAATTGAGATGCTTTCAGAGCTGAGGCACAAACATTTGGTCTCGCTGATTGGTTTCTGTGAAGAAGATAGTGAAATGTGCTTGGTGTATGACTACATGTCACGCGGCACAATGCGAGAGCATCTGTACAAGGGCAACAAATCTCAAGGTCAACTGTCATGGAAGAAAAGGCTGGAGATCTGTATTGGAGCAGCAAAGGGACTTCACTACCTTCACACTGGCGCTAGGTGGACCATCATCCACAGGGATGTCAAGACGACAAACATTCTCTTGGACGAGAACTGGGAGGCCAAGGTTTCTGATTTCGGGCTCTCGAAGACTGGTCCCAACATGGATCAAGGCCATGTTAGTACAGTGGTGAAGGGTAGCTTCGGATACTTAGATCCCGAATACTTCAGGAGGCAACAACTGACAGAAAAATCTGATGTCTACTCGTTCGGAGTTGTCCTCTTCGAGGCGTTGTTTGCAAGGCCGGCTCTCAACCCTAGCCTGTCGAAGGAACAGGTCAGTCTAGCAGATTGGGCTCTACATTGTCAAAGAAAAGGAATTGTGGAGGAAAACATTGATCCTCACCTCAAGGGGAAAGTCAACATGGAAAGCGTCAAGAAATTCGCAGACACAGCTGAGAAGTGCTTGTCCGAATCAGGAATCGACCGCCCCACTTTGAACGACATCTTGTGGAACCTCGAGTTTGCGCTCCAGTTGCAAGACGACACAGATGGCTCGAGTCACTCCTCAAGACG